TAGACCACGATGTATTGGTGTCAATGATTGTAATATATGTAGTATTCTTATAGAGCTTGTGATGTACTGACCACAATGAACTTGTGATGAACTGTCTACGGTAGACTTGTAATGTAGGCTATTGTAAGTCTGGCTGCAATGGGCCTGTAATGAACTGTCCACAATGCGATTTATACTCAGCTAGCTCAAGAGTCTCTGCAATACAAATCTTGCTTTAAAAGGCGTATACAAATAAACGACAACAGGTCCTAAAAGCACATATTTATGAAATATATAAAGTGATTAAAATTTTAAATTTTTTAAAAAATTTGTAATTTCTTATTATTTCCTTTGAAATACATGATTCTTTGAAATATTGGGATATGTTTTTCTTTGTAAATTGCAAATGCCTCTAAACCACTGAGTACATGTGTACTGATTTTAAAATATTCATTATGTCTTAAATATTGGATATTAGGATTCCATATTTTCATAATAACAAAATCAATATTGATTGAAATGGACCAAAATTGAATTCTAATTTGTGTTTTTAATGTTATTGATAATATTGAGTTAGAGGTTACATTTGTCTAAATTTTAGGGGTTTAGATTTCACTAGGCCTACATTGTAGCAGTCCTGAAAATTGTTTTGCATTTGTTATTTGTGCTTGAGATTTATTTCATGATGTTTCATTTCAATTTCAGTCTCGGAAGACTATGATATCTTCATGTATAATGAATCGGGAGGGTATACCTGTAGACTTTGTGGCAAGACAATGACCAGTTCGTCTGGTATTATCAATCACAGAAATTATCACACAGGCAGATTTAGATATAGATGTCAAATTTGTAATAAAGGTTTCAACTTTAAACATCATTTTGAAGGCCATTTGAACTCTCACCAGAAAAATAAACCTCATGCCTGTGTTAAATGTGGCAAGGCGTTTGGCTTTAAAACAGCATTAATACGACATGAAAATAGTTGCAGACCCAAACCTAACACATAGGTAGGTTGGTTCCAATCCAAAATGTATCAAGTGTGAAAGAGTAGCCACAAATACCTGAAATGGGTGTGTTTAATAACATAAGTTGAAAGCTGTAGAAATATAGATCAAGGGTTCAATCCAGGTTTTAATTTTCAATTAACCTCCTTTTGGTTTAAAATAAGAAACTGTTTTCAAATAGTTTAGTTCTTACCAGGAGATTGTGGTTGATTTGTACATTTAACTAGGAGAAAACCCCTATGAAGGAGAGTAACAATATCTAAAAAAATAAGAGCTCTTCCGAGAAGACTGATACTCTATAGTGTTATATTACTAATAACTTCAGAAGGGTTGTGCTTACACATTTTGGACAGACAGTATGTGCTCCACCCACATAACGGTTTGACTTTCTTTCACTGGTCACTTTATGGCTGTATAAGAGCTATAACATGATAAAAAAAAATGTCAGCATTCCGAACCCTCTCAAGTATCAGAATATATGGTACATGTATGTATTTCATATCTATCAATGACTTGTTTCTTGGTATAATGCAGTTGTGTCCAACTCAAAATCAATACTACCTTTAGGTATCTCATATTAATAAAATATTTACAAATGTATATACATGCTGGAGAATTGGGTGACTAAGTGGTTAAAGGTCTGTCATTGATTCAGGAGTACTGGTTTCGATGCCAATGGATTTTCGGTTCGGTGGATGTTCATGTTGGTTTGGTATAATTTTAATTAGATTGTGATGGTTGATGAAATCCATTTACAGGTGTCATTAGAACTATATCGCAGAATATGAGACTCTGTCGGTGGTGGTTTAGATATCTGAAATCTAGGTTCAAACTGTAATTACATGGAAGTCGTGCAGGTTATGCTTACTCTATTTAGGGCACCTCATACAATTTCTCATTTGAACAGTTCATGTACCGGTAGTTAACAATCTTCAGCAGGAGTAGTTACACAGGCCTATACGACTGTGACCCTTTTGAACATCTGAAGAAATATAATGATATTAAATGGGGTTTAATGGCCTACTATTCTGCACCTACTGGGCTAATTGTGGCATACGAAAGAACCCTATTAAATTTCATAATCTTTCCATTCACATTTCGATTGGTTAAACTTGTGAATGCGATCAAGAAAGGGGTTTTCAATGGGCTTCATTTCAACTTAAGTGAGTTAGGGTCATATGCATAAACCCTATCGTAATTCAGAATATTTGTACACTATATTTTAGGGTTAATTCCGACCCCGCACACCAATTACTTTGAAATTCATGCAAACAATTTGATACCCATGTTGGAAGTTCGTCTTGACATCTTATTTAGTTGATTTCAACAAGATCTAACACATGTGTTCCTAAATTGTTCCAAATATATTCCCAGGGGGTAGATTTCGCCTAGCCAGGGAATATATTTTCTGATTTATGATTTGTACATGCATATTTTATGACTTGACAGTTTTTGGTTCTGGTATACTATTGGCTGTTCATTTAGTATATATATAAGTAAAATAACATTGTATGCTGATATGACAATTTGAACTTACAATAGTAATGTTCAAAACAGTATTGTAGAAGTGTACCGTAGCCCAAATTACCGAACAGATTAGGGTGGAGGTAATTTTACTTTTGAAAAGTTCCTAGAGGTAAATGGGAAGAAAAAGTTTAGGGAAACTGTTATCTAGCAGGAATGTTAGTTGTTCTGTGACAAAACTTATGTTTTTCAAAGACTTATTATCCAGTGAAGTACTAGTATGATATTAACCTTTTATATGTTTATGTTTCAGGAGAAGGATGTGGAAGTTTATCAGCCAGAAGAAACAGATCGTCGTTTACACCGGCACAAGTTAAAACTTTAGAACAATTCTTTCGCAAAGAACATTATCCAAAGCGAGAATTAAAAGAACATTTAGCAAAACTATTAAATTTATCAGAATTTAATGTTACCATATGGTTTCAGAATCGACGTCAGAAATGGAAAGTAGAACAACAACCAGCTAATTCTACTATGCCTGTGAATTATAATAGTAATATTCAACGTTTTTGATTTTGAAAAGTTTTTATTGGAATCTTACAATTCACAAAGATTTGTGTTTGGTTGGAATATTCTGATAAAACCACCACTGTACTTGAGGATTATCAGCAGTAATTCATTAATGGTGTTAAACAATGTTCACGATTTTTTTTTTAAATATCATTGTGTTTTTTTATTGTTTTATGCGAGTTAGTCAAATATTTGAGACCACATGCTATTTTTATGTGAGTGTGTGATACCAGTTATCATCCTAGCCCTTCCCGAGGTCTGCTAATCAAGGTATCATTATTGTATTGGATTGGAGTCATGGCAAAACATTGATTGGTTTCAGGCCACAAGTACTAAAAGAGATTGCAATAAACTGGTGATGGGGAGTCTCGATTATCATCTCAATCATCCTGCAGTACGATAGTTCTATGCTGACAACTACCAAGAGCAGCTAATTTTAGCGGATCGAGATGAAGTGGATAGTTCATTGACTTTCAAGCTAACAGTAAATGAACTGTCCTGATCTGGTCAATATGTGGATAACCCAAGTTGTTTTTTGTTTGATTTAATGTTGTTCTTTTTACATTATGGTTTATTAAAGCATAATATTTTTTCATATATATTACAATTACTGAATTCTCGAACCATTTGGATTTAATAGGACCAATTGTCATCACTGAATCAACTATTGAGCTGACACCTAACTGTCCAACACAAACATAGGTCATGAAGAGATCACTGGTACTTCACAACAAAATTAGCAGGGAACACTGTATTCGAATGGTCGTGGAACTGGACTCCAAGCTAGACTGTCAAAGAGGTTCTACCAGGGGGTGAGGGCTTTGTTACCTACATATTCAGATGTCTTCTTGTGCACACATTGGTGTACATAAAACAGGTCTTAACATTTGGAATTGAATCCATACTGGTGCACTTAATTGAGAAGAAAATTATATGTGGAAACGCTACCATCAAGACAAAATTCTTTTCCGAGCAATGCACATGTGGCCATTATAAAACAATTAGATACTTATTAGTATCAAAATGACGAGTATTGTATCTCCATTCAATTTTAACTTCGACTAGGAACTTTGAAGGAGAAAATCATAAAAGGTTCTTGTTGTGGACAGTTTTATTAGAAAAATGTTTATAATGTATTATATGTATCTCTATATAGATAGTTATTGTTGTATACTTTTGTATAATATAATTATGTGACTGTTTTATAATGTACTGTTTCAGTGTATGTCCGTTTATAGAAAATGATTTTTGCATTGGATCTGTCATTTCAGTCTTTATTGACTTCTGTTGTTTTATTATAAATATTTTAAGTCTTTACCTACAATTGTTAGAGAGGCAGGCATAAGGGAACAAACATCTGATGGCACTTGTGAACATTTAAAAAAACTGCAGTTCTGTAGCTCACAAAGCCTTCAGATTCCAATCTATATAAATTAACGTCATCACTTTGACCCCAAAATAGAATTTTGGACAGAATCATACTTAAAGCTCAGATTTCGCCTAATTATAGGGAGGTGGAAGTTAAGCTATTACACAATATATTTACCGGTGCTAGGCCAAGAAATATCAGAGCTTCTTTGTTGAATAGCTAAAAAAAGAACAAAAACAGGTATGCAAAAAGGAGCTTAGTCGACCGAGCAGCACTACAAATTGATCAAGAGGAGCAACCCATGAATAAATTATCAAAAATATTAAAATTTGATTGGCTTCTAGTTCTTCCTGGAGTAACATTTATTATACAACCTTTGAATCGGATTGTGAACATAAACACTGTACACATTTCAGGTCAATCGGATCATGTAGCACCATGGGTCATTTGTTAGATGTGGAGAGCAGCAGACGGGAAACCGGTGGTCACATCCCGCGTATAACCCATGCATTGTTTCTTACTACATATTTTGGAACAGCCCTTGATCGTCTAGGTGTTGGTTGGCTCTCTGGCCTGACTACTGTTGCATCTTTCTACGATACCGAATCAAATAAGTAACAGGAACAAAGATATTTTTTTTTGGCTATACGTTTTTATGTCAACAGTTACACAATAGTCTGTATTACAATATTTAAAATTAACATCTCCTTCTCTTAACCCCACTCCTTCCTGTAAAAGTCTAACCAGCGTGGCTAGACATCGTGAAATGTTCGTCTAAAGAAACCAATGCATGTCTGTCTATTCTAGCCCCCACTCCCTCATATTTATAGGTGCCTAATTTGTCTGTGGGGTAGGCTAATTCGAAATTTTCCACTCACGTGTATTTCAAACAATAACAATTTATCCTTGAAGAATGCAAAAATGCAAATGACCAACATGTTACTAAACTATAGCTGCGTTAACATATCTAAATAACCATTATACTTTCTATATTTTTGGTTATGAACTTAGAATCATTAATTTGTAAAGATAACGATATTGTTTCAACCACCATATTTCTCTATTTCTAATCTTTAGCCCCCCATGTCCTGTTATTGGTACAATATTTCATAAACAATTTAATTTGCGTTTCAAAATAAAATTATACCATAGCTAATATTTTGACAATGGAGAATAATTAATCAAGACCATAATATTATTCTACATATGAGTTCTTTAGCACAAATCCCCGCCATCCATATTACTATAATGATAACTTTAGCTTCTAGAATGTCCACAAGATATTTTAAATTAATCAAGGGCAAAAACTCTGACAGTAATTGTTGGAAATTGTTAAATCTATAAACACTGTTTATGAGTTTACTGCCAATCAAATTGTAACTTTAGCCTCTAAATTGTGTCTACAATTCGACATTTCATCTTGTTTTGACCTTTTCAAATTCATTTGAAGATTAGTTGTCATCATCTTTTATTGCTGACTCACTAAAAGCTGTTCATATGACTTCCTGTTAGTAAAGTTCTGTTTTTGTGGAGTAAAGCATTGGGCCGTTACTCTCTCACACATTTTAAGACTTATAAAAATAAATCAGGTAACTGGCTATACAAATTAGTAAGCATATTTTTATATCAGAAAATCAATAATATTTAAAATGTAATTAATACTACCTCTGTCATAAAATCACACACTTATACATTAATTACAATATCTAGTTAAAGAATAATATATTAAAATCGACCAAAAACTCACAAATCAAGTTAAAACAAGAAACATTTCCACGAAGCAAAATCCGCCAAAAGGTAGCTATGTTGAAATGAAAAACATTTCAACCAGGCAAACTTTCCTGTTTTTTAAAAGTTGCACATAACCTTTGTTTAAAAACCGGACCTACTTAACCGTTTCACCTCAACATTTGCAAAGTTCTGTTATTGATGAGGTCAATTGGAAAAACAATTTAAATGGGAGAGAGCACGGAAAATCACCTTTGATGTATTGTTTAAATCCTGACCTATTCCATGTAACGGTAAACAAAGATATTTGACCTGATTTCAATGATTTGCACTGCAAAATTAATAATATAATATTTACTACATTGGTCTCTATATTTGACTTCAATACCGACTGTTGTAAATAATTTACCTGAAAACATCTTGAAACTATAGAGTTTTTTTTTTTTAAACTAGTGTAAGAATAGTATTAATTTGTTCAAATTTAAGTCCCTACCTCGCACGCATCAGTGGTTCAGAAGAGATGTAAGCCCTTTGTGTCTGTGTACAAGGCAAAAAGTCAGTTTTTTAATTTTCCACATAAACTTGGCATTGGTGAACAGAATGTCTGTCATCACAATATTGGCTTAATCTACAGAGTAAACTTTTTAATGTAAAATAAAATATGTGAGTGCCCACACCTTAATATAATCTAACAATCAATATAAATTTGAAATTGATTTGATGAGAAAATCAGTCTATATGGTACCGAAAAGGAATTTTAGACAGATTGATAGAATGGAGTCTATATGGTACCGAAAAGAAATATTAGACAGATCGATAGACTGGAGTGATTACTATATAAAAGCAAACAATATAGGTGAAGAAGAAAATATCGGTGTGTAAAATTAAAATTAAATTTGTAAAAAACAATTATAAATAGCAAAAAATCTTCTTCCCTTCTTTTTTTTTGTTTCCATAGCAATTGTATTATCTTGGTTTTTCTGGTGTTACACCGTGTGCCATTAGTTCTTTTTTAACACGATTCAAATAACCAAGATCAGGGTAGCCATAACTACAAAACAATTTATAAATAATTTTAATGATGATCAAACAATAAGATACAAAGACAGAGAGTCCACAGCCAAAGATGGGGACACAAAATTTACTCAACAATTTTACAGTATATGGAATTAGACCCATTAAATACATTCTTTGCTACTGGATCCGGTCACCTGGAGGGTTGTGAGTACTAAACTAATTAATAACAAATAGTTAAAGATGCATTATGTAAGATCTAGATAAAGAGCTGAAAGTTCTCACTGTAAAAGAATAAGCCCACATTTTTCAAGAGATGGATAGAGAACAAGCTAGAAATAAACACAATTTTTTGTACAATCAGGGCAATAATCCAGGAAAGTTACGGCCTGAAATGTGCAAATATCAAAAGGGACTGAGATCGTTGGGATATAAAGATATGTTTTAAGTTTCAGCAAAATTGGATAAAAATTGTGACCTCTAGAGGGTCGACAACCTTCATACTACACACTTCTACACAATTTGCGTACAAAGAGGGTCCATATTGTCGGGCAGTTTTATTTCGATTTTCCCTTCATTATGGTGGAATGGTGATGTATTTCAACGTTTTTTAAAATTGTGACCTCTAGAGAATCTGCAAGCTAAAAATGCGATTTTTCAAACAATCCAGGAAGTTAAGTTTGGGTATCCTTGATTATCAAAAGGAACCAAGACCTTGGTGTGTAATGGTGATAGATTCACACTTTTTATTCTAAATCAGATAAAAATTGTGACCTCTACAGGAACCACAAGCTAAAAACGTGATTTTTTGTTCAATCCAATATGCGCGAACATCGAAAGGAACCAATATCTTTGGGTTATAAATATGTATTTCAAGTTTCATCGAAATCGGATCAAAATTGTCACCTCTAGAGGGTCCACAACCTTGATTTACAGATGTTTACACTATTTGCATACGATGGGCAGTCATTTTATCCGACAGTTTTGGCCCGATTTTCACGAAATTCGAACTCAACAAACATTACGGTATAACGTTTTTTTTAAATCAGATAATAATTGTGACTTCTAGAGGTACAACAAGCTAAAAACGTTATTTTTCATACAATCGGAGGCCATAATTCAGGAAGTTTTGATCCGATATGCGCGAATATTGAATGGCACCAAGATCGTTGGGTTATAAACTTGCATACCAAGTTTCATCAAAATCGGATCAAAATTGTGGCCTCTAGAGGGTCCACAACTTTGATATACCAGATGTTTACACTATTTGCATACGAGGGGCGCCTATGAAATTCAAACTCAGACAAAATTATGGTGTAGGGTGATATATTTGAATGTTTTTTTTAAATTGGATAATAATTGTAACCTCTAGAGGGACCACAAGCTAACCAGCGGCTGCCAGGCAGGATACGCCCACATTTTCGAGAGATGGATAGAAAACAAGCTAAAACAAAAGTGATTTTTCCTACAATCAAGGGCCATAATTCAGGAAATTACAATTCGATATGCGCGAATATCGAAAGGAACCGAGATCTTTGGGTAATAAACTTACATTTCAAGTTTCAACAAAATCAGATAAAAATTGTGACCTCTATAGGGTCCACAACCTTGATATACCATATTTTTACACTATTTGAGAACGAAGGGCGGCCATTTTGTCTGTCAGATTTGGGCTGATTTTCACGAAATTCGAACTCAGTCGTCCTTAGGGTGTAACGGTGATATAATAATACGTTTTTTTAAATCGGATAAAAATTATGACCTCTATTGGATCCACAAGCTAAAAACGTGATTTTTCGTACAATCAGGGACCATAATTCAGGAAGTTACGTTCCGATATGCACGAATATCGAAAGGAAACGAGCTTATTTGGGTTATAAGCATACATTTCAAGTTTAAACCAAATCGGATAAAAATTGTGATCCCTACTGTGTTCACAAGCCAAAAACATGATTTTTCGTACAATCAGGGGCCATAATCCATGAAGTTACAGTCCGATACATGCCAATATCGAAAGGAACCGAGATCTTAGGGTGATAAACCTATATTTCAAGTTTCATTGAAATCGGATAAAAATTGTGACCTGTAGACTGGACGGACGGACGGGGCGACGACAATATACCTCCACATGAAAATGTGGGCGTATAAAAACTGATTTTTCTTACAATTCGAGGCCATAATTCAGGAAGCTACGATTCGATATGTACGAAAATGGAAAGGAACCAAAATATTTGGGTTATAAACATGTTTTAGAAGTTTCATCAAAATCAGATGAAAATTGTGACCTCCATAGGATCCAAAACCCTGATACACAATATTTTGACACTATTTGCGAACAAGGGGCGTCCATTTTGACCGTCCGTTTTGGTCTGATTTTACAAAATTTGAACTCAACCATCTTTAGGGTGTAACTGTGATATATTCAAAAGTTTTTTTAAATCAGATAAAGATTGTGACCTCTATAGGGTCCACAAGCTAAAAACGCGATTTTTCGTACACAGGGGCCATAATTCAGGACGTTATGGTTCGATATCCGTGAATATTGACAGGAACAGAGATCTGTGGATTATAAACAAACATTTCAAGTTTAAACCAAATCGGATAAAAACTGTGACCTCTACAGTGTTCACAAAAACGTGATATTTCGTACAATCAGGGGCCATGATCCATGAAGTTACAGTCCAATACATGCCAATACCGAAAGGAACCGAGATCTAAGGGTGATAAACCTATATTTCACAAACAATTGTGGACGGTCGGACGGATGGACAGAGGCGACGACAATATACGTCCACATAAAATTGTGGGAGTATAAAATGGAATATAAAGAAAATTTCAAGGGAGCCACGGTGGTTCGTGGTTCAGTGAGCAAGATGCTGGCTCGCTAGCCTGAAGGTCGCAGGTTCGATCCCGGTGTTGGTCAAGAAAGGTCATTAGGATTATATGGCATGGTTTCCGCGTGTCAGTGGCGCAGCGCCCGACAAGGATAGGTGTCTAGTCGTTCGGATATTACGAAAAACCAAGCTACTCATTGGGAGTCTAGAGACTGAACACCAATCCCTTACCAACTAGCTAGTCTCCTGGCACTGACCGTGAAACTAACAAGCGGTTGTCATTTAAGATATGCCCACATCTTGCAAGAGATGGGCAGGAACTGGTAAAATCGTCACCTCATTCAAATCCTTCATATCAATTTTGAAAAAAAAAATGTGTTAAAAACTGTAGCCTCTATCAAGTTCAGAAGGTTTCCGGCAAATTAGGGCAACTCTGGAATAGAAGGTTGTGAAACGCTGATTATCGATAGGGTTAGTGCATCTAGTGAACCCAAAGCTTCGCACCAATTTTGAAAGTGATCTGTTAAAAACTGCAGCATCTACCGTATTCACTATTTTTGTGGATATAAAGGGCATAACTCTGGAACAATAGGTCGCATAATGCTGATTATCGACAGGTTTGTCATGACACCAAAGCTTCAAACTTAATTTGAAAAGAATCTGTTATAAACCATAGCCTCTATCACATTCACAAGAATTTTGAGAAAGAGGTCAGATGCACACCAAAATAACTCACTAAAAAATTAATTTAATTAGAAGCGTTTGCCATGCAAGATACGCCCACTTTTTGCCAGATACGAACAGGGGCTATAATCCAGGAAGTTACGGTCTGATAAATGTGCGAAATTCAAACTCAACCATCACGAAGGTGTAACAGTGATATATTCGAACAGTTTTTAAAATAGGAGAAAATTTGTGACCTCATGAGGGTTTAAAAGCTAACAAGCGGATTTTCGTACAGTCATGGGCCATAATCCAGGAATTTACAATCTGATATGCACAAATATCGAAAGGAACTGAATCTTTGAGTTATAAACATATTTCAAGTTCCATCAAAACAGGATAAAAATTGTGACCTCTAGCTCAAATCGTGATTTTTCTTACAATCAGGGGTCATAATGCATGAAGTTACGGTCCAATACATGCCAATTTTGAAAGGAACCTTTGGATACACCTAAATTTCAAGTTTTGTCAAGATCGAATAAAAATTGTGTCTACAAACAAATTGTTAACTGAGGTCCAGACGGACAGGGGCGAAGTCAATATATGTCCACATGAAAATGTGGGCATATAAAAACAATATCTCAAACTTTCCAATGGTCATAACAGAAAATAAAACTGAACCTGTCTGGTCCACCATGTACTCTTGTTTTATGGTGAATATCATTCCAGGTTACAACATCATTTTGTCCAGTTGTAACAGATTTACCCACAGTAAAAATCAATCTTCTATCCCAGGCTGTTTTCAATAAAGACAAGACTTCTTGACCATCTCTATTATCAGGTAAATAAGCTGTTCTTGTTGTACCTTTAAATGGTTTACCAGGGTTTGGGTGTTTCTCCTGTAACAAACAGTGAGAAGATATATAATGTGACTGAATATTACCATGTGATCGAATATTACTTTGTGATGTAGGCCAACATTTAGTATACGAAAAAAAAAGATTACAACAAAGCAAAGATTTCCAACAATAAATATGGATGGAATAGATCAGGATTTATAATCATATGTTGTGATACCGACTGTGTTATAATATTTGAACAACCTGGAGACCTATTTTTAATTTTAATGAGGACGCTTCTGTTCAAACTGAAATGAAATGAAATGAAATGAAATAGGGTTTAACGTCCTACTGTTTTGCTCCGAACTAAGCTAATGAAGACAGGCATACGCCATACAGTGTGCTATGAGGGAAATTTTGCCCGGACAGCGGCACTACGGCCTACTCTTATATCGAATTCCAACTGTCAAGGGATCTTTTACATGCACAAAAATGTGTACACGGGACCTCGGTTTTTCGTCTCATCCGAATGACTAGACAGCTGTCTTTGTCAGGCCCTCCGTCCTGCATCACTGACAAGGGGGAACCATGCCGGAAAATCTGGGTGCACTTTCTTGGCCAATGCTAGGGTGACCCATGTACTCACAGAAATACAGTCCACCGCTGATAGTTCGAGACTACCACTGAAGCGTGCACATTCGCCGTGCCGAGACCAACTTTCTGACAGTATGATACTATAAATAGCCATGGCACGTGCAATTCTCTACAAATCTACCAACTATTACAGCCGTAAAAAATTTATTGTTGACGATTTTGAATAGCAGTAAAATTAAGCTTCTTGGTTATTACAGCAGATTTAGAAATTACGTTAGTTTCATTTTTTAAATCGCTTTATCATTAACTGTACCGTTAAGAGTGGCATCTTTTGGTTTAGTACAAATAATATCTCTGAATCACTCGGGTTAGACAGGAACATGATACTAGCAGTAGTTTTATTTTACTTTTACAAGCTTCTTAAAACGATTGTTGAGCAACCTAACGTGCTTATTTCTAAATTCAATTTCTTGTTCTAGCTTTCTGTTATGTTTCGTAAAAAAAGTAGTCTTGATTATCCCGACCTGTCAATCAGACGTAGAATGGTCGATAGGCTGGTTAAGCGAGACTAATTTCAAAACAAGGGCACGTAACCTATCTTTTACTCAAAAGTGTCTGGATGTTATGGACGACTCTTGGAACCAGTTTTCAGTCTATTATTTATACACGATTAATGGTCATAGCTTATTAAGTACAACATGATCGTTTTTTAGTGACTATAATTGTGTGAAACTGATTTGAGGCTTGGCATATATATAAATATTGTGGCGTAATTGTCGAGATATATGGAGATATTTATTTATGGTGGGTCACCCTACCAATGCATGGATCAAACACCAACCTCCTGTTCACACTGACAAATAAGCAAATTTCACTTAATCTTTAAAGTTTGGATGCCAGGCAACAAAACATATACCCACAGCAGCTAAGTTGTCAGGGCAGTCAACAAGAGTTGTCGCATATTTTTTCTTTTGTCGGTAATGAAACATTTATAATACATTAAAATCTGATTAAGAGTAACAACTCATTCAATAATTATCAGAAAATCATTAAAATTTGTTTGGCATCTAGTTCTGCCTCATGCTTATGTTAAGTATACAAAACATTTAATATCATGGATTTAATATATTTGTTTGTCTCAAGACCTTAAACTCTGTGTATCAATCTAAAGTCAATCGAACAATCACTTTGTCCTGTAGAGCATCCACAAGATTTTTCAAACTAATAGGTGTCTTTGACTCATGACGGTAAGCACTGTGTATGAATTTAAAATCAATCGGATGATAACTTTGGTCTCGAGAGTATCCACAGGATTTATCAAAGTGATCAAGGGCCATAACTCGGGCAGTAATTATCGGAAATTTAGCCTCTAGAGCGCCCACAAGCAGGCGGATGGGGCCAACGACCACATTTCAATGTGGGCGTATAAAATGGGTCATAATCATTAATTTCCAGTCCTTTGTTGCCTCACAGTATTTTGGTTTAGTTTCAATTCACTGCTTACTGACCAATCATAGTACTGAATCAACCATTATACATGTGTTCAATAATCTGCTGAGCTTAAACAACCATAGCAAACCTTTTTTTTTGACTTGTCCGCTACATTCTACACTGTGGATCACTATAGTCTCCTTAGAAGCCTTTGTTAGTGCTTCTATATTTCTGACTGCAGTATTGAGTTTGCACCATGGGTTAAAGATATTGGTGTTATGATGGAAAAACACATTGAACATTTATTTTCGTCATGTTTTAACTTCCAACCTTGTGTATTGGAAATATCTGTCTTCAGTAACTTTCAAAGACAAATAGGGAATGACTTACCAGCTGTGATAAAGTGTTCAGACAGGATTGTTTAATTTAAATCTAGATTTAAGACACAAATGTTTAAAGTGTATTATTTATACACTCACAGTTGATCCGAGTACCTGTCAATATTATCTTTTTTTCGTTAGAATACAGAAACAGATGGACAATCTCCTTTAACAGATATAAGTCTGGAAAAGGAAGAAAATTTAGATGTCCCCACTTTTACAGACATCTAAATATACTGACATGCAATGAAAATGCACAACAGATTGGACTCAAAGTGCTAGCATGACATAATGAAGCTGAAATGTGATTTTTGGAATGATTGTAGGATAGAAATTTATTGATGCAAGAAACTCAACAACAACTAGTGCTAGCATGACATAATGAAGCTGAAATGTGATTTTTGGAATGATTGTAGGATAGAAATTTATTGATGAAAGAAACTCAACAACAACTCACAGAGGTCATAGCAACTCTACTTTACACTGAAATGTAGGCCCAAGGTTTAAAAATCAAAAGCCAGTAATGTGTGTACTTCCACCTCTAGCAGCCTCTTATGGCTGCTTGTGGGATCCTTCTAGTTGCAATGCTGTTTGCAGTGGCTCTGATATTCATGCACCCTTAAATTAACATTATGGTGAGAGTTGCACTTTTAGCAATCAAATTCAATAGCTAAATAAGTTAACTATCAAGGAATAACAATATTGTAGTTAGCAAGGTATTAACAAACCATCAAAAAGTTCAGAAACTTTAAAAGTCAAAGTTAATTTTGCTGATTGATATCTTACCGACTGGATGCCATCTCTGAATATGTATTTGATTTCTATAGTACAATATTTCTCATATCCAGGAAGATGACTATATATATTTTTTGTAACTTCCATGTGTCCATCTGGTTGGGTACCTGTCTGTATACCACCATAAACATTTTTTCTACAAATAGGACAGAATATGCTACACTTCATTGCTTGATCAATACAGGGTCCACAGAAAGAATGACCACATGGTAAATTCTTCCTTTCTGATATAACTTCCATACAAATACTACATTCATCATTTCCGGCTTTATCATCTTCTTGATGAACCAGATCTTGGTGCTGTTTATGGATCTTTGTCATAATCTCCTCTGATTTAACAACCAAATGTATTTCCTTCAAGGTGGACGATATTTTCAATTTAATATTTTCTTGTAGTTGTTTCAACAAAACATCAAGCAGCATAGAAGCATCTAGATTTCCATTACCTATTTATAATATATAATTTTTATTCATGGGAATTAATACAAATAAACCATATATTCAGATGAATGGTGGAACATCATGAATTACGGTAGGCCCTACTTATAGCTACCCAGAATGTACCGTAGTCAGATCAGAATAGGAATTATTGCTATGTTCTTATTTTTTGAGAAATTTGGTGAATGTTTTACTTGTACTTACTATCATATATCAAAATAATTTAATAATTATCGTAATGGTAAAATAATTTACTATAGGGGTTATTTTTCAATCACTATAATAACCAAAATATTGATAACAATTAATGTCAGTACCGTGAAATACAAACAAATGCATTAAAACATCTGACCTGTGGTAACCGAATGAACTGATGTCTTTCTGGTCTCTTCAATAAGATTAGAGATTAAACTCTCTATTTCTTCTTTTTTTGGTTTAATTGAAGAAACAAGATGGAAGATATATTTAAATGGTAATGAACCAGCTGATGTAGTAATAACAGATCCAGCTTTAAACATATTTTTGTTCTTAGTTTTTATCTCTGTTCTTTCATCTTCATAATTTTGACCAGCTTCTTCAATGATAACTTTAGTATTGGCATTAAAGTTGCTGAGTTGTGTATCTTCCCAAGTCGTAATAGCTTCTGTCTTAGTAGATGTGATTGCATCAGCTTGATAAATATGTATACTAAAATCAGGGTTTAAATAACATATCATATATGTTTTAGATTCCTGTTCTTTTATTACCATTTTCACTTGTGATTCTTGTGATTGGGTAACATCTGACCTGCCTGGATTACTCTGAGATGATGTTGCTGAATCTATGTCCCCATATCTTGTTCCACCTGATATATCGTCAATCAGTCGTCCAAGAGTTTGTTTTTGTAAATCATCCAATGGATTTTTCAAAAACATTTCGAAACCACCTTGAATAGATGAAACCATATCCTTTTGAATATCGACAAAGTAGATTTCTCTAAGATTGGTGACATTGTGCAGGTTATCAAAACTATGGACAGCTCTTACATACATTTCAATACAGATTGGTTTTGGTACTCCAAATATGGCTGAAGAAAATAACAAAGATAGTTAAACTGCATTCAAAGATCAGAGAAAGAAATCTTATTGGGACTTTACAAAATTTTATAAAAAAGTTAAAGTTACCCCCATCTTTCATGATTTTTGTCCACACGTTTCCTAAATTCAATATTGTAGATCTATTATTGCATTCAGAGGACTACTTGATTATTTCATGTAATAATACCTGATGATATGGAAGGAATAGCTATTGACTTATAACCATCTTTATCCGCTTCTACCAGACATCTTATGATAGTTTTACATAAATCATCTTGACACGTCTTTCTGTCATTAGGGTAGTCAATCCATCTTGGTCCCACAGCATGATAAACTTTTTTACATCTCATATCACCTCCAGTTGTTTTACAAATACCAGTAACAGGAATTTGTCCAAATTGTTTGATATAGTCTTGACATTCTTGGTTTAGTTTGTATCCACCAGCTTTAGATATAAAAGAAGCTACACCTCCACCATGAGCCATCATACCATTAGCAGCATTAACAATAACATCTACATTCAGTTTAGTAATATCTGACTTCTTAACAATGACCTTTATATTTTTACTAGGTGTATTGTAAGTCTGTTCTTGAAGTTCTGTCTGTTGTGGAAGACTACTAAAACTATCATCTCTTGTTCTTTGTTGTTTTTTATTAGTTATCGTGACTAAGCCTACAGCTATTTTAAATTTGTAGACGATTTCTTCAACTTCATTAAAATCTACTCCCAGAACATGTACAGTACTTGTATCATCATCAACACCAACATATACAGATTCTTTATAATCATGATTCCAACTAAACTCACAAGCTTCATCCATCTTATCTTCTGGTATTTTTACTTCTTCATGACGGATATCTTCTATTAAATCTTTTATCTTAAGAATAGTTCTATCAGTAGTGGGTTCAGGAAGATAGAAATCAAAATTACCATCAGGTTGTTCTGAATGAGACATTTTCTGAACTATTTCTTTACCAATGATTTGTTGTATAGCTTTAAACACAGATTTCTTTATGTTGTATTTTTTGTATTGTCTAGAGCTAGTTGCTTCTTTTGGTCTTGCTCCTCCAGGGTACTTTTCTGATGATGTTGGTTTAGGTTTAGTTTGCAACCTTTCCTTTAATATGGTTTCAGCTAAGCGAATCTGTATTTCACAACCTTCTATATAAATCTTATTCTGATCAATGATGTCTACAAAAACGCCAGAAGCTTTTTCTAATTCCATTTTTAATTCTTTGACTGTCATAATTTTATTTGGTGGGATGCTCACATGACATGAAAAATCATTCATTATCTGAATAAAAAAGGTAAAAATAAGTGAAATATGAACAGAAAAGCATCTTTCTTGTCCAATCCACCAAAAAATTTAATTTATCCTATCAGTTTCTAAATAATAAGCTTGAAATTCAATGTTCAACTTCTTTAAAGACAGCAATGCCATGTTTACAAATACATTTCAGTAATAGAATTTTCTTTTTTTTTTTAACTTTAACATGACCAACAACATATTTAAATCAAAACAAAATAAAGATCTAATTTCAAAAACTTGTACAATAGGGTTGTGATTTCGGAAACGATAAATATTGATACAATTAAAGCAATCAATAATCTTGTCAATCAATGTATATTTAGAAACAGTGGGTGAAATTTGTTTAATCTCCTGTTGGTTGGGTTGCACTATGTCGATAATTTTTCTTTGAGAAAATGACTACATTATCCTGTTTTTGTCGCCAAACAGCTTTATTTACACACATTTGTTTTGGATAAAAAGGCCAAACTGTGTGAAAATGAACATAGAGTTGATCAGCCTCATTTGAAAACATCCAAAATCGCCAGCCAAATAATATGCATAACAAGTTGGTATGAAATCCTTTCAGACAGACAGGGAGAGAAATGGGGTTTAACATCCACTCGACACAAACTAGGTCATTTAGGGTCTAACATATTGTTCAACTTTACTTAAATAATTCTGTTCTGTTGGAAGAAAATCAGAAAAAACCCACAAGGTTGGACAAGCAAGATTTCTTGTAACACCACTTGACTTGATGACAGCCCTTGCGATCTAAAGCGCACATGTTAGACCATTCGACCACCAACCCTCAGAAATCCTTTAAGTTATAGTCCTGCCCTTCCAAACTCACCTCACCCCTATGGAACCAAACAACATACCTACCAAATTTGATTGAAATACAAGAAGCAAGCAGAACATCTTTAATCAATGAACCTTTTTTTTTGGTGCCACCCAACCCTTTTGTCTCTCTAATGTATGCAACATGGTTGTGGATGGCAAATTTTTGCGATATACACTTTTTTTCTTTTCCAGAATCTTTGTTTCCTGGCATGACTTTTGATCTTATTGTCGTACATCCTAGCCCAATAAAACGGTTAATATAGTTATATGAATCTATTCAATAAAAAATGACCTGTTAAAAAGATCCTGCATGAAATTTCATATAATATATATCATTGCTTTTACCCAATCCTAATTAGAATCAAAGCTGTCATTTTCCAAATCTCATCCAATCAAATTGTTTATCTCGGCTTAACCTTAGTGAAAATTCTTATCGTCGAACTCAGTCAAGGCATTCACAAAATAAATACCTACACCAAGTTTGAACATTCTACCCGAAGGCTCAAGTTATTGTGTTCCAAAGTCTCTAGGGGGGTTGGATGGCTGAATGGTTAGCGTGCGCGCGCTGTATCATAAAGTCTGTCATTGAGTCAACTGGCGTGGTTTCGAATCCCAGGTTGTACGTGGCAAGGAGTAGGGTCGCCTGTCCAACCTCGTGGGTTTTCTCCGAGTCCTCCGGTTTCCTCCTACTGCTAAAGACCCCTACACGCAAGCGAATTATTGAAATAAAATTAAACCATATGTTAGTCCTGAAATGACCTAGTTTGTGTCGAGTGGACGTTAAACCCCATTTCTCTCTCTCTCTCTCTCCAAAGTCTCTACTTAGCCTAAGCAGAAAATGGTAGACTTAGTCATGGTATTGATGTAATGAAACTATATACAAAGTTTCACTACTATCACACAAGTACAATCAAATTTTCAAGTTCTAAAGTGACTAGTGCTAAGTATTGCCACTGCAGTCATAATACAATACGTATTGCGATTCAGGTGCTATTATACGATTCATAACCAGGTCAATATTTATCAAGAAAACAACAGGATAAAAAATCATAACTTTGACCTGCAGACTGTGACAGACAGACATTTGGACAATACCATTTTAATAGTCCCCTGTTTTCTTCGAAAGGCGGGGGTGGAAATCATAACTTTGACCAGCAAATTGTTTATAAGGAATGTGGATAGATAAACATGATTTAAAAGCTAATTTTCTATAATTCTGATTAACTGAATGATTACAAAATTGCAAATTGCATCATAGTAACTCTTATTTTGTTCCAATTTAAAGTGTTTGTTCATCTCATGTTTAACAGCAAACAAATATTCATCTGATACTGTAGGCTTTTCTTCGTAGTTGAGAGTGCTTGAAGTACACAAAACATATTGGCCTAGCCTTAACCTCCACCTCCATTTCATATCTAGACATATAATCTGGTTACTAATAATTTATATATTAAAATTGATTATATATTTATGCTACTTACATAACTTGGAGTTTCAAATGTCAACTTTTCAAACTTTTTTGAATTGCAAGCAGAAACTCTTTCTAAAAATAAAAGCAAAGTAAGACTTCATTTTAACACAACACAATGGTTGTACGTTCTAGCCAAAGGCATGTTGCACATTGTAACCAACGGTAGATTGCCAGACAACGAAACATTTGGCATAAACAGTCCTGAGAGTCCACATAAATTGATTGGTTACATTTTGCTTACATGGTTACATGTTGGTAATGAAAAAATTTACAATGCACTAAATCTGATGAGTAACAACGCAGTAATTAATTATCGGAAAATCATTAGAATTTATTTGGCTTCTTGTTCTGCCTTATTCTAATGTTTAATGTACAAAACATTTAATATCATGAATTTAGCTGTGTTTTGATGTTTCATCGAGCTTTAGCTCGAAATGTCAATCATTGAACTCAGTCAAGACATTTACCTAATGAACATCTACATCAAGTTTAAACATTCTACCTCAATTAAAAGCAGAGTTGTTATGTTCCAAAGTCTTGAACAATCAACTTGCTTATCGTTCCTTAGCCTAAGCAGAAAATTCTCATCATCGAACTTAGTCAAAGTAATGATATAATGAATCTCTACTCAGAGTTTCATTATAACCAAAGTTATTGTGCCCCGAAGCATCAACCAATCAGATTGCTTACCGTAAGCAGACCATGTTTATCATCAAACTAGATCAAGGCATTCACCTAATGAATGAACATTCTACCTCAATTAGAAGGAAAGTTATTGTGTTCCAAAGTCTCAAGTCTCGACCAATCAAATTGCTTATCCATCTGCTTACCCTGAGCTTAGTCAAGGTATTGATGTAATGAAACTATACACCAAGTTTGATCACTCTCACTTAATTAGAACTAAAGTTATCGTGTCTCAAACCATCAACCAATCAAATTGCTTATCTCTGCTTACCCTAAGGAGAAAATGCTCATATTCAAACCCGATCAAGGCATTGACCTAATAAACACCTATACGAAGTTTGAACAATTTAAAGGAGAGTTATTGTGTCCCAAAAAGTGTGACGGACGGACGGATGGACAAACAGACAGACAGACCCATTTTAATAGTCCCCTGCTTACAAAAATGTGAAGTTGTTTTTAGTAGTCAGTGTTGTTATATGACATTCCTTTTATTTAATTGGACAGCTGCCTTTACTTAATTCTTATTAGAATGTTTACTTATATACATGTACCCATCCTTCTATTACTCTCTTATTATTGTTTGTACAATCTTCAAGAGTCATAGACTTCTTCATCTCATGACCTTAAACACTGTGTATAAATTTAAAGGCAATCGGATATTAAATTTAGCCTCTAGAGCTTCCGCAACGAGCGACAGATAGGTGATGACGACAATATACAACCATATTTCAAAACATTTCTCAGAGCGATCACAGATTCTCCAATTTTCAGGATTTTTCTCTGGGGAAAATAACTTCTCGTTAATGTTAGAATATACATAAGTTTAGTGCATTATCAAACTTACTCAAAGCAATTTGCATGAGCATTAGCTGAACTTCTTGAACACAATCATAACATGTGCATGATTGGTAACTAGAATCTCAATCTGGTTAAAACACAGATCCTATTTCGTTTCGTTTTTATAGTTCAAAATTTCATTTTACTTGTCTTTACTACACTTGGATCTGGAAGAGTTGTTATTTAACTCGTGTTCTGAATGGTGTCAGGGATAAGCCAATCAAACGGTCTGTCACGGCGAGCTTTAGGCGTGTTTTGTACGGAACTGTCGGTAATCCACAAGTAACATCAATGCTGATTGGTTAATCAAATGTCTGACATCATAGGGTCATAAGTCGGCCTTTTGAACCCTGACGTGACCTATCGCTATAACTTGTCAGATCTTCATGTAGTGTAGGTCATCGAAAGTATAAAAAAACGAAACGAAATATAGATCTGTATTTTAATCAGATTGCTAGAAGCTAATCTTAGAATACATTATATTTCGGCAATATACTGGGAGATATATGTCCTATTTTGCAAACATTATAACTGCAGATTTAGCTGTTAAGATCAAATCAAATCAAACAAGATGATTAGTCATCACCTTCTCCCACCATTGCACTTGTTTGGAAGGCATAAGGGAAAACAACTTCTTGGAACATCAATGGGACTAGTCAGAAGATTTAAACTCTGATCACAGTAGCTCGACAAGGCAGAGTCGCTACTCCCTGTAAGGTTTGCACAACAACCTTTGCCTACCTCAATCAGCTGCTGTATGTTAAAACAATAAGTTTATACATCAGAAAATAAAATACTATAATAGGTTGATGTTTGTACAAAGTTTCAAAAAGATTTATTGAACAGATAATGAAATAAGCTCCGGAAGGATGGTCATCAGATAATAAAATAATAGGTTGATGAATGTAAAAGTGTTATAACTACTATAATAGGTTAATATTTGTATGAAGTTACATGAAGATATCTTGAATGGTTTATGAGATGTGCTCCGGAAACAAAAATGTACACCAAAAACTAAGTTCAAATTTGTTTCCATGGAAACACAAAAACTATAAATCCAAGAAATTCCTAAATAGCAAAAGACACAACTACTGTAATAGGTTGATGTATGCACAAAGTTTCAAAAAGATATCTTTATGAGATATACTCTGGAAACGAAATCGGGACGGACGGAGCCCATTTCAATATTCCTCCCTAACTTTGTTCGGTGCGGGATAATTAAATTGATTGAAAAAACTTTATTATGAAATTACCTTCTGAACTCTTGAAAGCTATAAATGCTTTATTATGATCACTCTCAAATGGTGTAATGAAGCACATGGGATTAATTCCATCATTCATAAATTGTGACACAAGAACACTCTCTAAAGCAGCAAACAGATTATCAGATCCTGTTACAATAACACACCTTTCTTCGTGATGTTGCAAGTTTCTAGGAGGAAAAAAAATATGGCCCCAATTATAGTGTCTTTAGACATCTAGAAAGCACTAGTTGGTATATAAACTAAAGGTAAAGAAGAAAAGGGGTTACACTACATACCAAATTTATATTACCAACATCTTGATATTTGTTGATTCACAATTTCACTCGGTCCACACCTTGAGGTTCATTTGAAGATGTTGAATCTGTTAGATCCAACCAATATTCTAACAAAATCTAGGTGAAATCATTCAAGTGATCTACGAGAGAGATTTCTATGTGTTCCTGCCAAAGCTATATTCTTGCTAAAATTGCTCGATTTACCATGCAGTTAAGAAGAATCTAAGTAATTTTATTTGAGCAAAACATCACACACAAATAGTTAAGCATATTCATTGACCAATGGTATGCATGAGAGATCACTTTTTAGTCTAAGCCAACATAACACTGCGAAAAGTACACTAGGTCGCTAGTTCAGGAATATGTTGCTCAAAATCCCTCTTATTTTCTGCGGAGCTGCTCATCCCGAACACTGTAATCGTGAGACTCCAATTGTGTGTGTACAACAAGGGGCCATAATCCTGGATGTTACATGCATCAGTATCAAAAGGAACAGAGATCTTTGGGATAGAAACATACATAAGTTTCATCAAAATCGGATATAGATTGCGACCTCTATAGAGTGTCAACAACCTTAGTATTACATGCTTTAAATTTGCGTAAAGGGGAACAGCCATTTTGACAGGAAGTTTCAGTCTGATTTTCACAGAATTCGAACTTAACTGTAATTACAATGTAACAGTGACATATAGGAACATTTTTCAAAATAAAATGAAAATTGTGACCCCTAGAGTTTGTTTTTTTAGCTAAAGATACGATTTTCATAGAATCAGGGGTCATAATCCATGAATTTATAGTTCAATATGCACGAATATCAAAAGGAATTGGGATATAAACATATATTTCAAGTTTCTTCAAAATTGGATAAAAATATCGAAAGGAACCAAGATCTTTGGATTATAAAAATACATTTCAAGTTTTATCAAAATCAGATAAAAATTGTGACTTCTAATGCGTCCAAAACCTTGGTATTACATACTTTTATACTATTTGCATACAATAAGCAGCCATTTTGTTGTGCAATTTTGACCCGATTTTCACGATTTTTTTGGTAGGTAAAACCATAAATTTTCATACAATCAAAGATCATAATCCATGAAGTTACAGGCTGATATGCACAAATATGGAAAGGAACCGAGACCTTTAGGATATAAACATATAGTTTAATGGGGCATTATGGGAGATTAGATAAAGAGTTGACAGTTCTCGCTATAATAGTTAAAAAATAGATAGCATAAATAGAATATGCTGAAAATTCCAAATTGCTCTAATCTGAACTGAGATATTAGCTTTTGAATTTTAGGCTAGCCTCGATCCATTACTAACATCGGTACGATAAAAGATAGGTTGCCAGGCAATGAAACATACGCCCACAGCAGCTATATCGTCCGAGCAGTCGACAAGGGTTGTTGCACATTTATTCCTTTGTAGGTACATTTGTAATTGGGGGTCTTTACAAGACAGTTCCATACAGATCAGATTATAATTTTTGTCGTTTGCGGGTTCACAAGGTTTTACAAACTGAAACAAGGGCCTCAACTTTGGAAGTAGTTTACAGAACTTGTTGAAATTTGACAGGCTTTTTCGTTTTACTAATTTAAATAATGCACATAAATTTCATACAGATCGGATGATCACTTTTGTCTTTCAAACGTTCACAGGGTTCACAAAGTAAGACAAGAGCCATAACTCTAGAAGTAATTGACGGAAATTGCTGAAATTCAATAGACCTCTGTTTCACAAATTTTAATGATGCATATAAATTTCATACATATCGGATAACTTTCATCAATCGAGCATTAACAAGGTTGAACAAGGGCCATAACACTAGAAGTAATTATTGTAAATTGTTGAAATTTAATAGGCTTCGTGGTTTAACTATCTTAAATAATGCACATAAATTTCAGAAAGATGGAATGATAACTTTTGACGTTAGAGCGTTCACAAGGTTCAATAAAGTGAAACAGGGGCCATAACACTAGACATAATAAACGTAAATTTTTGAAATTTAATAGGCTTCTTCATTTCACCAATTTAAATAATGCATATAAATTTCAGAAAGATCGGATGATAGCTTTTGGCGTAATAGTGTTCACAAGGTTCAACAAAGTGAAACAAGGGCCATAATTCTAGACGTAATAAACAGAAATTATTGAAATTAAATAGGCTGCTTCATCTCACTAATGTAAACCATATATATCAATGTTAAAACAATCGGATAATAACTTTTGGAGTTTGAGCTTTCACAAGAAATTGTGGACGACGGACGGACAGAGGGACAGGGGTGACGGTAACATAGATCCACATTTCCAAAGTCTTGATTATCCATTTTTACGTTTAATTATGATCAAAAAAATGTATTCCAATCTGCTAAATATCACAGGCTAGAGATGGCATCAAGAGTTGATTATGGTTTGGATAAGTTAATTAATGTCTAATTAATAATTTAGATAACATTTCAAGCCTAAAGATTGATCTGCAATATGCAGATTTACCTCTTGCATAATGTATATTTAAGTTTTTTCAAAATGGGATAAAAATTATGAACTCTATAGGGTCACAATGAGCGGCGATTTTGTTCGGCAATTTTGCTACAATTTTCATGAAATTCAGACTCGACTATCATTTGGGTGTAACAGAGATATATTTAAACGTTTTTTATAATTGAATACAAATTGTGACTTCTAGAAATACAAAGTCTAAAAACGTGATTTTCCTATATGCGTTCATTGAAAGAAGCGAAGATCTTTGTATAAACATAAATTTAAAGTTTCATCAAAATCGGATCAAAATTGTGACCTTGATATGCCATACTTTTATACCAGGTAGACTAATCACCGGAATTCATTGACAATCACTGGAATTCACTTCGAAAATCCCAGATTCCTCCCACAAAACTAATTTATTTTAAATGTATAATACATTATAATATAATGAATAACTATTTTGATCTCTCCACAGGCCAGATGAAGGCGCTGTAAGTGTATTTATTTGAAAGACTACCGGATTTCATTTCAAATATATGCATCATGATTATGATAACGTAGGGTGCGTCGGATTATATTCCATATATGCCCTTCGGGCATCTCGGATTTATATTGCATATTTCTCATTGTTCTTTCAAACCATGCACACTCGCTCAAACTTTAAAGGCTAAAAAATAGCTCACCGAATCAGTGTGTATAAACACGTGACCACGCTCTATATAAACGATCACAACACTTTCAGGATTGTCTTTTTCTCTTTTGATCTAGACCGTGCACATACTTGTGTTTGTGATAACGCTGTTATCATGTTCTTAAATTTTCTTTCCATTGTGTTCAATGTGTGTTGATCATTTATGTTTTATCATGGACCTGTATTTTTAGGTCCATTTATAATTTATATTATTCACCGTTTTTTTGTTTGTTTTTAGTCGCGGTCATCACGGAGTGTTGACTTTATTTCACTCTTTATATGGAGGAAAGCGATTATTAGGGATTCTGCGAGGCAGATCTTTTAAATGATCATAATGTAACCGCAAACTTGCTAGATTTAAATGTCGTAATTATTATACGGCTTTTTTAGACAATTTGCGTCGAATTACATAATAACTCCAAAATAACACCTAATTACTCCAAAAATGTTGACTGGAAACACAAAATAACAATTTAGTTGAATTTAAGAAGCCTCGCTGCTTTGTGCCCAAATCAGAGGTTCACAGGAGATAACTCATGTATGTGATTTTTGTTGACAGGAAACTACCATATGTATATTTTCATTGCAATTTGTTGTAATGTATTGTAATTAGTGATTACTGGGTGTTGTTTTGGAGTTTTTGGGTAATTCGACACGCCCTACGTTATCATAATCATGATGTATATATTTGAAATGAATTCTGGTAGTCTTTCAAATAAATACACCTACAGCGCCTTCATCTGGCCTGTGGAGAGATCAAAATAGTTATTCGTTATATTATAATGTATTATGCATTTAAAATAAATTAGTTTTGTGGGAGGAATCGGGGGTTTTCGAAGTGAATTCCGGTGATAATATGTGAATTCCGGTGATTGTAAATGAATTCCGGTGAATTCCGGGATTAGTCGGGCCCCTTTTAAACTATTTGTATACGAGGAGCGTTTTTATCAGATTAGAATTCATCATATATTGTAAATACAGAAAGGAACTGAATCATTTTTGGACTGATATTCCTTTTAGAGATCAAATCCAGGGAAGGCACACACTGTTGGTCGCCAAAGTCGCAATTTGCGATAAAAATATGAAAGTGGCAATTAAAATTGGATTTTGGCGATAATTTTGATGATAATGTTTTGCGGTACTGGCGATTCTTTTTGAGAACTGGCGGAAAAATCTTAAAATTCTAATCATATTTATCCTGGATTAATCATTATTGAGTGTCAATCACGTGGCAGGATACTATAAATTAATCAACTGGCCGATTGTCAATGAGTAGACTTATCAGTTGTCATGGATTAATGATTAGTTGATTGATAATTATTGTGAATGGATATATATATCTCATTCACAATAATTATCAATCAACTAATCATTAATTCAAAATATATATATATATATATATATATATATATATATATATATATAAAAATTAAAAGGGTGCTTACCGTAAAAGGATATAATACATTCTAAAAGATTAAGTAGAAAATACCATTAAAGAAATTTTATTTAAATGCCTACATGTTTCGCCATTAGGTTTTCAAGGCAATAATAGATAATGGCATTACGTCATTATGTAGCGTCATTATGGAGAGATAGTTACAATAATTTTTCATAAAAATTAAAACAAAAAAATATGACTGGTTAAGTTTGGGTTTAAATTTGTTTATAAAATACTCTTCTTTAACTCTTAATTTTGTGATATTATTATCAGACAGTTTATAAAAGGGGAAAATATGAAAATGTTACGATTTATTTTTAGCCCACTTAATGGGATTTTGCAGTATATTTCCTCTTTTATATGCTGTTTGTGTACTGTCACACGCTTCCGTAATTCATTTGTGGATCCAATGTACAATTCATTACACCCAAGGCATTTAATTACATATGTGACAGAGCATGTCATACTACTATTTATTTTAAATGAAAAATTATTAAAGTTAAAAGAATTGCCCTCAATCAAGTAACCGCACATTCCACAGTTTCCTCGTCCGCATTTTGTTACCGCGTACTCTGTTTCGAGACTATCATATTTTGCTCTTGTTAGCATCTTTTTTAGGCTTGGTTGTTGGCGCTTTGAAGGTATGAACTTTGTTTCACTGAGGATTTTATTCATTCGTTAACTTCGTCGCAGTAGAGCAAAGTTATCTCGGAGTACATTCGTCAAATTCGGGTTTCGAATGAATGTAAAGACATATTTTTAAAGTTGTTGTATATTGTATTGTCTATATTGGTAAGTGTTTTATAATAAGCCTAGCTGAGACATAAAATTGTTAGGTGATGTCTTTTTTATCAAACATTTTTGGCAGATAAAATATTCTAGTTGGGACAAAAATATGAACAGTTTTTTTATATAAAAATTATGATCCATTTTGGCGGAAAAAAATCGAAAGCCAGTGTGAGCCCTGATCAAATCCCTTAAATGACATTCAGAGACTATAATTTACCTTGGTCGATTCTTGTTTCTAACATCCATTTCTCCATCTTCTATAATAAATTTCACATATTAATAATAACATTGAATTATATTAAGAATTTGTAAAAGATAAAATATTGTTGCGTACATGGCAGGTTTCCATTTTATGACTGTGATAACATATAAAAGTTACAAACACTCAAATGAAATATGAAATGGGTCAATTATACGATTGGCCAAAAAACTCTGTAATGGTACTTAACTAGTATATAGTAGCCAACTTCCTGTAAGTGTACGCAACCAGTATGGTACCCAAGTTTGTAAAACCTGGGGGGGGGGGGGGGCTGGATGGCCGAATGGTTAGCGCATGCGCGCTGTATCATAAGGTTTGTTATTGAGTCAACTGGCGTGGTTTCGATTCCCTGGTTGTACATGACAAGGAGTTGGGTTGCCTGTCCACCCTTGTGGGTTTTCTCACGATCTGCCGGTTTCCTTCCACTGCTAAAGATCCCTACATGCAAGCGAATTATTGAAATTGCACCATATGTTAATCCTGAAATGACCTAGTTTGTGTCGAATGGACGTCAAGCCCCATTTCTGTCCCCTTCTCTTGTAGGCAGTCATGTGATATTGTCATAAAAAATATTATTACTTCGTTATTAGGGTTTCACACTGCGTAGCTTGTGTGAAACACTATTGTTTTTGTTAAGATTATTAGGGTTTCACACTGCGTAGCCAGTGTGAAACACTATTGTTTTTGTTCGGATTATTATTCTTATTATTATTATTATTATTATTAGGGTTTCACACTGCGTAGCTTGTGTGAAACACTATTGTTTTTGTTCGGATTATTATTCTTCTTCTTATTTTTTTTTTTTCCATTTTGATCATATCTCAGAAACTACTTGTCGGATTGATCCAATTTCTTCGGTTTCACTGGGAAAGTGGGTGTGACTTAGAGATTAAAGCTATTTTGAACGTTCTGTGACAATGCGAAATGTCCGAAATCACCGAAGTGGTTAATTTTTGAAATTTTGTCGTAACATTTACAATAATTGCTGGATTTTAACATTTGATACATTTTGACATAGGCAGAGACAAGGCACGTAGCTACGGTTCTTTAGATTGTTGATTTTCGATGAATCTTCGGAGATATTAGGCGCCAAATTTTGAAAATTTAACTTTTTACAAAAAACTTATTTATTAATGAATATTTTTTGATGATATTTTATCCAGGGCTAAAGGGTCGTCTGATTTGAGCGAAAATGTCAACAATTTTTGTCTAAATAATTTTCCTTGGCCACTATTGGCTAATTCAGTTTTACGCTTCTAGATTCATTAATTTTGACAGTTCGGTACCACTTTTTGAAAGCAAATATTATTTTTTTAAATTTTGTTACTACTAAATCGATGCGCAATGCAAAGGCGCACAAAACATCGGACTCAGTTTTTTTAATTTCGATTTCGTTTTCGGGCTATTTCGATTAAAAGGTGAAAAAAGGTGTAAAATTAAGCTATTTACAACCCATTCAGCATCTTAATATTTTAAAATATTTCTTCGTAACTTTCATAAACTTGTAGCAACAATCCATACAAAGAGAATGTATGTGAAAATTAGTTTGTAATATGAGCAGTTGCCGAGAAATGGGCAATTTTGCATGAGTGACTTTTTACGCTAGTTTGCCTGTAAAAGAGTCAATTATTATTGGATTTCCATTAAAGTGACACCATTTGATGCGTAATGTCAATATTAACTAGGTCAAGCCAATTCAACATTTTCAATGTCACCGGAAATGACGTAATTTGGGAAAAAACTGTATTTAGAGCCATTAAAACCAATAATTTATTCAAACGAGTCGTATTTGTTATTTGTTTAAAATTTTGATATTTGATTCCAATCAACTAATAGAATGAAACCATACGATCATATAGATATCACAAAATGGTTTCTAACTTTTTCAGTTGCCGAGAAACAGACGATTTTCAACAGGTAACTTTTCAAGGTTTTTGGTCCATAAAAGTGTCAATTATTATTCGATTTTCATAAAACTTTCAGTATGTGATACCTAATGCCATTTACGATTTCATACAAGTAATTTATGATTTTCATTATCACCGGAAGTGAAACCCTAACTAGAACTGCGACGCAATAATGACGGGTTTCACCGGTGCCCCGTTACCCTTGAACATATGTCACTTCCAGTACCGATGAAACCATTAAACAGGTTTCCATATAAGCATTGCACACATCAAATAAAATGTATGCAGAATCAACCAAATCCAGCAATATCAATTCATTGTATACATTTGTTACATGTAAGTGATACTGACAAAATTACATTACTTCCGGTGATAATGAAAATGTTAAATGTTAATCTAGAAAGCGATTAATACTAAAAGCTCTTAATGTGGCACCTTTGGACTGTAGCTAGAGCCAATAAGTTCACTGTTATATAAGTGAGAAGCTTCAAAGATATACCTTCTAAGGCAAAAAAACAATTTAATAGAATAGAAACACTCCAGGTTGCTACAAAACAAGATTTTGGAGGATCAAGATTAAAAATACCTTCCAAAAAACGATAAATAATGGCATGGTTTCTGAACTTCCTGCTGCCTGAAACTTTCAGAGTCTGAACAATTGCTGATCTGTAGGTGTTAGCAACACTATAGGAATACTAGACAACAAATCACTCAAATAATTTGCAATATTTTCTACAGTGGGATCCAAAGGATCAATTTGTTTTCGATCTGTCTAAAAATTCTATCGTCTCAAGGCCAGATTATACTGTTTGTTAATTCCTGGTCTCCAGGACCTGAGAATAGTGTCAATAGCATGTTGTGATAGTCCTCTATTAGTGAGGGTTTGCTTGAGACAAGCATTCATGTATAAAATTTTGCCTCCCATGGGGTAGCACATCCCATGGTGAACTAAATGCAAGAGGTCCTTCCGTAGGAGCAAATGAATGGGGTTAGAAATTAGCATTGCTAAGAGTCTAGAATACCAAACCGGTATTGGCCATCCTAGCACTATAATTATAGCATGGTCTCTGATTATTTTGTTGAGATACCGATACTTGGCAACTACACTGAAACTTTCAGTGAGAAGAGGAAGATGTATTGGTGAAAATTAAATCAACTCATCTTAAATACATCATATTCAAGAGCCAAACAAAATGGATCAGACTGTCAAGATACATACTTTACAACTTGGTAAATAAGCTGTGGTATAAATAGATCTATGTCCGGTACAGATAAAAGATTACATACCCTCTGAAAAATGTGCTTAATCAACTTCAATTCTGTGAAGTCAGAAAAATGTCTAGATAATGCATCTGTTATGCTATGAGACATAATTGATCTATATTTAGCAGATAAATATTTCTAGAAGCCCACCGGTTCCAAATTTGTTTGCTTATTTTAAAACAATTTATCTATAGTTCCCCAATATTATAAATATATGATAATTATAGGATATAGTGTTATCACATGGAACAAGTATATGCGTATTAGATAAATTGCTGCACAATGATGTCCATCCATAGAAAACTGCCAGCAGTTCAAGATAATTTATTGATATTCTGAACTATTCCAAAGCAGATAGATGTGAATATCAGAAGGAGTGAGCACCCGATACATAAAGAGAAGCATCCAAAGTAAAGACACAAGAGTGGTCTAATATGATAACCATTTTAAATGCTAATGTTATATATGTAACCACCAGTTTAACTCAAACGTCATTGAGGGAAATACCCATATGAATAATTACATTCTGTTTAACTTAAAGCTCTAGATTACTCTTTTATATAGGTAAAGGTACTAAAAGTATTGCTGTTCGTAGAAAAGGAACACAGTCCAATAAAATACTCTTTGTCTGATAGTGAGCTTGTTCGATGTTAATAAAGCTCTGGTCTTGGTTTTGACTTTATCCTTCGTTGAGTAAGAGATCAGTAAATAAATGACAATTAATAGTAAATTCTAAAAAATAATTTCTTTAGAAGGAAATCCTAGCTCTCGAAAACATCTTACAGCTTTCTGTGCGTAAAACCACATTCTTTTGCAGTGTTGATAGTGGAAAAGAAAAAATAGAATTGTCTGTAAAATATGAACAATGTATACACTGCCTGCGAAGGATTGCAAAATTTGATTTGAAAACTTTAGAAAGAACTCTTGGAGCTGAGGAAACTCTGAAACGGAGTCATGTAATCTCAACCGTTTGATCTCTAATAAAATGTAAATATTATTTATGATGATCTGGACGAATATGAATAGAAAAAAGGCATCTTTTAGATCCATTAATGATAGAAAAACCTCTCTATGTATTATACTGATAGAAGCAAAGCATAAAGTTTCTTGTGTAAAATGTCCATAACCTATAAATATCTAAATTTTTCAGGTTTATAACAGGACGATAATGTCCATAACCTATAAATATCTAAATTTTTCAGGTTTATAACAGGACGATAATCGTCAGTCTTTTTCTGTAACTAAAAAGATATTAGAAATAAACTGATTGGTATGAAAACCAGGGAATACCTGGACATAAAGCCTTCTTACTTAACATTAAATTAATCAACAAACTCTACCTGCTCTGAATTATACAGAGGTGGTTAGGCAATCAAAGTTGAAAGGGTGGTTGAATAAAACTCAAACCGGTACCCGCTAACTGTATTAAGAATCCAGTTATCTGATGTCATGATAGACCAACTGCCTAAAAAGTATTCGAAATCTGGCTGGCTACAAAAGTATTACCTACAGGTGTTACTGTAGCTGGGTTGATGCTGCCCTGAAAACGGAGGCCTGTAAAAGGATTGCTGCTTAGTACTCGACTCAACATGATTACCAAATAATACATATAATGTATAATTGATTGACTGATCTATATAAAGTCGTATCGACTGGCCGATTGGAAGAACAGAGTGGGTGATACCAACGACTTAAATAGCGTTTAAGGGAATTCCTAAGTTTTAAAAGACAATTCCAAATGGGTATTACCTGGATCACTTACTGAATCAGCAATAGAATTTTTCGTATCTTAATTTTTTGACAGCAATGACAATAAGGGGAAACACCA